GTCATGTGGTTGCTGCCACCAGAGTCCAGGAACCACCGCTGGTCCTGTCCGCCACCCACTCGTCCGAGGTAGACTTGGGCGCGCGGTTCATCGAGGTAGACATCTTTTAGAGCCTTTCTAGGCTCTTCCACCGCCATCACCTCTAAAAGTGCATCTAGCCCTTTAGTGAGTTTGAATGATTGAATGACAACGTGATTAAAGGTCTAACCCATTTGCTAAGTGTGGACAGATAATAGGTTATCTCACAGGTACTTAATAAAAGCCAAAATGATATGTTGTTGTATAAACAATCTAGTTCAAGGACAAGACAACAATACAAATGAAATTCATGGAAAGGCTTATTTGTTGGGGATTTCCATATACTATGTGAAAGCAAGCTCGTAAGAATTAATTAATGAGACATGAGGGATTGCATATGGAATGGTCTCATATTTGAAGCTTGCTAAATTAAAATTAAAAAGATAACAATACAAATGAATGGATGATTCAACACAAGATGTGACTTGATGGCTTGAGATGGTGAAGATAGCAAGGAAAGGCTTCGAGGTACTAAGCAAGGGTGAAGGGCAAGCGACGACTTGGCAGCCGAAGAACCTAGCTAGTATGAAGAAGGAAGTACTTACATTTAGTTGATGTACTAATCAAGCTATGATTGTCATGTCAATGTAGAGGATCAAATCACTATTGGAGTGTTCGATGGAAGTGACTTGATACATTTAGGATTATTCAAATTTGATGAATGAAATCAAGTCACGTGCTCAAGATGGCTATGCTCAAGTGAAAAGATCAATATCAACATGTTGGCACCCTCACTTGATGAAGAGTGGAATACACGGCTTCGGTTGAAAGAGATCAACTCAAAAGGTTTAAATTCATTATACTCTTTATAATTAAGTTAATAGGAATGCCGTACTATTAAGAGGGATGCATCATGTTGATAGATAATATTTTATAAGTGTTCAAGCCAACCCATGTGAGTTTTGAGTGTTTGAGAGACAAAAGAGCTAATCTATTTTTTTGCTGGTCTGGCGTATTGATACCGGACGTGTCCGGTATTTGCCCAGCAATGGTAAAATTGTTGTTCTAGGGTTAGTTCGTCGGGAGTTCCAATGGTCGGGAGTTCCGACGTTTCGCACTTAACTGACTTAGAGGGATCACTGTCCTGGTCATACCGGACATGGACGACCAGAGGCCAACGGCTAGTTTTCAAATGCCTTGAGGGTCAGGAGTTCCGGCATGCGTCGGGAGTTTCAACACCTCACAAACTTCAACTCGGTTACTTAGTTTTCAAATATGCTGAGGGTCGGGAGTTTCGACGTGAGTCGGAAGTTCCGGCATTCATCGGGAGTTCCGACGCCTCACATTGTCACTGTAACTTAGTTACAGTTGGGGCAGTGTAAGTCATACCGGACGTGTCCGGTATGCATATAACGGCTATAAAACGGCTAGTTTTTCCAAGGGGGCTATAAATACCCCAAGCCTCCACCTTTGGAGGCTGCTGATTCTACTGATACACACACGTTTTTAAGCCTTGCCAGCTCTCCCAACCCTCTCTTAGTGAGTGATTGATCAAATTTACCAAATCAAATTGTGGGTTGAGTGAAATTCAAAAAGAGAGCAATCCAACCACTTGAGCACTTGTGCATATTGTCAATCTCGTGATTTGCATTTGTTACTCTTAGACTCTTCGGTCCTAGATGGCTAGGCGTCACCGGAGAGCACCCGAGAGATTGTGATGTGCCTCGAAAAGTTTATAACGGTCGATTCCGCCGCCTCGGAATCAACTAGTGAAAGGAGGAAAAGGAGTTGGAAAAGACTCCGGCTAGAGTGACCTTTGTGGTAACCTCTAGGGCTGACCTTCGCTGGGTCGCCCACAGCCCCCTCAACGGAGAGTAGGACTCGAACGAGTCCGAACTTCGGTAAAACAAATATCGTGTCTCAATTCGCATTTCATTTGATATTTGTGTTGCTCTAGCTCTTGTGCAGGTTCTCTGTGTTTACTGTCATCTCTAGTAGGTACCCGCGGCTTGGTTTGAAGATAGAAATCGAAAGGAGCAAGTTTGGGGCTGTTCTGCAGAAATCGTGTATACCGGACACGTCCAGTATTTCCTACTTGTGTTGAAAATATTTATTCTCGGTTCTAACTTTGTGTTGCAGGGTTGTAGCTTCAAGATATATTCTTTATACCTTGTTTACTCTGTGGCTAATTTGTGAGGGGTGATATTTCTCTTAATTTGGAGTTTCCATTTTGGAAACTCCCTTTTCTAATTGTTTCCGTATTTAAAGGTGTTAATTTTCAGAAACGCCTATTCACCCCTCCTCTAGGCGGCATCGTAGATCCTTTCAACCTTTCCCTTCTCCTTGGCCTCAACGTCGTGCAGTGCACAGAACATCGTCATTAGGAGAGTGGCCTCATCATCAGCAACAGCCTGCGCCAGATGAGCCTCAGCCTTCTTCTCCTGCTTGCGATTTGGGCACTCCTTTGCCCAATGGCCCGTCTTCCCGCAGCGCCTACAGTCGTTGGGGTCGACCTTCTTCTTCTTCTCCGAAGAAGACTTGTCGCGGCGCTTGCCATCGCCACCACGGCTGGAGGAGGCTTTCCTAGATTTCCTTCGGGCAACCCACTCCTCCTCTCAGCAGCAGCTTGCTGCTGTCCTTCGTCGCTATGGCCTGCCCCATGCGCTCGTCCACCGCCCGCAGACGACCTATCACATCCTCAATGGTGAGGGTAGATAAGTCCAGCATTGTCTCTATGGAGAGAGCAATCTTGATGTACTTCGCCGACACGGAGTGGAGGTACTTGGAGACCACCTCTTCTTCGTCGATGGTGCCACCGTGGCTCTTCAGCTTAATGATGAGCGTCTGCAGCGGAGGGAGAAATCCTCCACCGCTTCACCATCCTTGAACTTGAGGTTGGCGTACTCCTGCTTCAGAAGCTGGGCCGTCGCCTTCTTTGCGCGGTCGAAACCGACGCGTATCGCCGCAATGGCTTCCCACGCCTCCTTAGCAGAGCTCTTCGCCCCCAACGGCTTCCTGTACTCCGCTGGCACAACAGCGAGGATAGCCTCCAGTGCTGACATATCGTCTTCTTCGTTGTTGGTGCCCTTGTCAACAACATTCTAGAGCCGTCGGGCTCTGAGTTTGACCTTTATAGTCACCGACCACTCGCCATAGTTGGTGCAAATCAGCGTCGGCCAACTGGTGCCGCTGACCTCCCGCACCGTGCGCACAACGAGCTCCTGTCATGGTTGGGCAGCCACAGCAGCACCACTGCTGTCGCTCATCTCTAAACCGTCCGTCATCGCTAGCGGTTAGTCCGACGACGACGCTTGTACGGTTTTGATACCACTTGTTAGCCCATGGATCTTCGCAACGGGTGAGTCGACCACTCACCACCGCTGCCGACCACGCACTATCATTGTCCGACCACATACTATGGCTAGAGGTAGAAGAAGGGAGGGAGAACAAAACACACACACACAGCACAAGCACCAGCGTTGGCCGAAGCTCTGCAGAGGAGATGGCAAAACCGTAAAACTGAACTCGCTCTCTTTACTGAGTTGCAGTGGCAAATTATATATACAACTCTACCCATCTAATCATAATACATAGACATGTCAGGCTGCCATGTTGCTACAGTGACTAGATGTGACAGCATGTCTGACTTTGGCGCCTGTCCCTGCTGTGGCTACAGCGCGGCAGAAGAGCCATTCGGCGCCTGCCCCTGTAGCTGCTACAGTGCAACAGTAGAGAGCCCTTTTCGACACCGCATGTTCTTACCGTGCGTTCACACAAGGGGAGGAACAGATTCCTTAACATGATCGAGTCACCCGCCCAGCGGCCAGGCCATGCCCAACACAACAGCTGACCGACTTAGGGGCCCTTTGGCACGGCTTCACGAGCAACTTCTCGAGCGGCTTTTGATGAAGCCGTGCCAAACGGACAAAACCAAAATGGCTCACGAGCGGAAGCCGGTGAAAACCCCTAAAATCCCGCTCTCTACACTTCTCCACCGGGGAGAAGCCAAAAATAGCGGCTCATACCGGCTTCTCCTCGTCCCAACAACTCATTTTCCATCTTTGTCCCGGGAGGATGAGCAAAGCGGACGACGCCGATCGATGGGTCAGCAATGCCCGCCGACGCCACGCGCTGACGCTGGCGGTGGCCATGGGGCCAGCGCTGCGATCATGGGGCGCAAGGCAAGCAGCGCGGTTGGGGCAGCTGGACTCCCTGCTCCGCCCCACCGGCTCCGCGGCCAGCCTCCTGCTCCGCCCGAGAGAGAGAGAGAGAGAGATGGATGGAGGGAGTGGGTGCCGGTAGCTCCTTATCCGAACGCCCGAGAGAGAGAGAGATGGATGGAGTGAGGCCGTTCGGATAATTAGAAGAAAAGAAGGGAGAAGGAAAGAAAAAGAAAAAAAGAAAGAAAAATGAAGAGAAAAAAGAAAAAAGAAAAAAATATAAGGGTATTTTGAACATTTCACATCTTCTTTACACTAGGAGAAGCCGTTTTGCCAAACGATTTCGTACAAAATAAGCCAGAGTAAAAAAAAACTGTTTTTTCATACGAGCCAGAGCGAAAGCTGTTTTTTTCATGAGAAGAGGATCGCTCAAGTCACCCAACGAACGGCGGTCATTGCCAAGGAATAATTGTCGCTCGATCAGGTTGCGCAGGACACGCTCGCCCCGGCCCACCACGCCAGGATAATTCATTCTCATCAGGTTGCTTCTCCCCACTGCTGTGCTCTCATCGTAATAGCTCCCCCCACACACACGGCCACTGGCGCTTCCAAGTTGGGCATGTGCTGCTCCGTGCTGCTGCTGTGACTGTGAGCTACCAGCCGACGACGACGGCCGCGCGCCTTGGGTTTCTTATAAGCGCGAGGGTTTGTGAGCATTTATATTAGAAGAGCGGGAGGAGTTTATAGCTAGTTGTCTTGACTCTTGAGTGGCGGCACCCATCTGATCTGGGAGATAAGCTAGAGAGAGTTGGGCCGGTCGGCATGGAGCTTGACGAGGAGACGTTCTTGAACGAGCTCATGTCGCTGAGGCGGGAGGCGGCGGCGTCCGCGCCGTGGCAACAAGCTGCTGCCTGTAGTGCCTACCCGGGCGGCGGCGGCGCCATGATGATGAGCGACCTCCTCTTCTTCGGCGGGACGACGGAGGGCGCCGCCGCCGACTCCACCAGCATGTACCTCTCGCCGTTCCACCAGGAGCCGCTGCAGGCGCCCATGCCGCCCGTGGCGGCCCCCCACCCGCACGAGAGTAAAACTTCGACTGCCTGAGCGAGGTGTGCAACCCGTACAGGAGCGGCGGCGGCGGCGGCGTTGCCATGCCGCGGGCCGAGGCCGCAGCGGTGCCCGGACCCGGACAGGCGCTCGCTGCTCTCCACGACGCCATGGTGGAGGAGGAGACGAGCGGTGACCTTGACCTGCAGGGGCAGCACTATGGAGGTGGCGGTGGCGGGTTCCCGACGTTCGTGTTCGGCGGAGGCGCCGGCGAGAGCTCCGAGATGCCCATCGTCGGGGGTGTCGGCCCACACCCCCACCACAGGACCAAGCTCCACGGCGCGCCGTCCAAGAATCTCATGGCCGAGAGGTGGCGGAGGAAGCGCCTCAACGACCGCCTCTCCATGCTCCGCTCCATTGTTCCCAAGATCAGCAAGGTATGGTTATATATGCATATGCGTGCCCCTACTATATGTGATCGACTGAGCTTTGCTAAAACCGATCGGCCATGCATGGGTGGCTCGATCATCAGATGGACAGGACATCCATTCTTGGGGACACCATTGACTATGTGAAGGAGCTGACGGAGCGGATCAAAGTCCTCGAAGAGGAGATCGGCGCCTCGCCGGAGGACCTGGACCTTCTCAACACCTTGAAAGATTCGTCCAGCAACAGCAGCGAGATGATGGTGAGGAACTCCACCAAGGTACGCGCGCTCCTCCTCGCTAGCTCGCGCATTCAATTCGCATGCATACACTACTCTTGGCTAGCTACTAGCTTAACTGTAGGGCACAGCACGCATGATCGATGAACTAGCAGCTGGTGATTTTGACCCATGTGCGTGTGGGTGGGCACATGCAGTTCGACGTCGAGAAGCGGGGCAACGGGAGCACGAGGATCGAGATCTGCTGCCCGACAAACCCCGGGGTGCTGCTGTCCACGGTAAGCACGCTGGAGGTGCTTGGCCTGGAGATCGAGCAGTGCGTCGTGAGCTGCTTCAGCGACTTTGGAATGCAGGCCTCTTGCTCGCAAGTGAGTACGTGATTAAGGGATCGATTCTTTGACTCTGAAAATTGTTCAATGCCATCTTAAATTTCATATATATGGCCTAATGTCATGGGGAATACACATACACCCACTATTTTAATTTCTTAGATATATAGATTGTTGGATTCCATGGATAATGTTCAGTTATTAGAACATGAAGAACATGAAATAAAACAGCTATATATAGTAGTAATTAAACATCCACAGCTTGTGGGGAAGAGGCAGTTGTTCGATGTCCTTATTAGTAATCTCTGCATGTATATATGGATTACAAGGATTTGTTACCAATTTGTGGTAGGAGGACGGGAAGAGGCAAGTTCTGAGCACCGACGAGATAAAGCAGGCATTGTTTAGGAGTGCTGGCTATGGAGGGAGGTGCCTCTAGAGCTAGCAAGCAGCTCCAAACCAATCCAGCAAATATAAGCTAGTAAGTTGCATGATTGTTATTGTTGTTGCTTGATGCTTTTCTTCATTGATATTATTCCATGGCTTTGCTCCATGAATTATTAGTATATAGAGCTAGTGTGTGTAGTAGTATGAGGTATCTGAAGAATATCCCAGCAGCAAATTAACAATTTGTTGCTCAGGTATTGTAATAAGTTGATCATTTCTTGCGGTTTGTATCATTGGATCATGGATTCATGGTGTGTATGCGGACTGATATATTGTGGTGTACCACGCGGCATGCATGGGTTAAATTCCAAGAAGCAGGCTGTTTCTTCTGCGAGTTTAGCTGTGATTTTTGTTCTCTTCCTGCATGCATGCCAGGGAAACGGTTCATACAGTTCTTACTTGTCCTTGAGGCTTGAGCTACCATATGCTGTCATATGGAGGGAACAGTAGTGTATGATTGTTTTATTCCTTTTGCTTGTGGGTTTTGATCGTGGCCTAACAATTGTATGCGGGAGATGCAAGCCCCGCAAAGTACGTACCACCATAATAATGGGTAAAGAACAAGGAGAATTGAAAGGCGATCTTGTTTCCCTGTTAGCTGATCAGTGGCATGCATGCAACGCTTCTGAACAGGAGCAGGAGCCAGTACTGGTAATAGTATATGTATGCATTTTAGTACACTCACTGCTGCTTACGGAACGATTCGTTATTTTATGGTCTATCTAAATGTTAAAAGCCATGAAAAAGTATATTTATGCATGAGAATATGTACGATTGATCAGAGCCAAGTCTGAACGAAATGAATTATTCCATTTTCAAACTCTGAACACACATATATTAGTTCGTTTTGCCTTTCAAGCTAGTTTCGATGGCTCAAATTAAATTACCATAAGCTTTCTCTTAATAACTACTATTCCCTCTTATCTATATATGAGTATCTGATCGCTTTAATGTCTAATTTAGAAACTATATGCACTACGGAAACAGTGAAAATGCCACGTGCTTTATGTTTGCCGAGTGCATTATATCGGACACTCGGCAAACGGTAGCTTTGCCGAGTGTTTCCTCCGAGACACTCGGCATACTATTACACTCGGCATATTTACGATTTGCCGAGTGTCAACACTCGGCAAGCATCAGACACTCGGCATATTTCATATTTACCGAGTGTCAACACTCGGCCTCTATGGGACACTCGGCAATAACCAACACGTGACCCGCGCATGCGCCGTCCTAACGGATGGCGTGCCGGCCGTGAGTACTTCACCGAGTGTCCGTTAGAGGCACTTGGCGAAGTACGTGTCTGCCGAGTGTTTTCTGCCGGCACTCGGTGAAGTATATGGGTTTGCCGAGTGTTTATGGAGACACTCGGCAAATCCAAAACTATTTTTCCTCCTCGGCCCTCCACAATTTTTCTACTCCCCACATACGACATTTGGTACTGCATGTTAAAAGTTGGTCTATTTCTTGGTCTGTTTTCTATATTTAGTGAATTAATTTTATTTTGAATAATTTATTGATTTAAGTGAAATTCGAACTGCAAGCGATTGAAATAATAGAATAAAATGAGTGGAAAAATCATATTCATGTCATTGAGTCCGGATTGATGTCTCATGCAGGAAATGAAAAGAAATTTCGAACATTTTGTTCAGGAAACACGACCACGAACGTGTGTCCGAATGATTTTAAATTCTACAAAAACCAAACGAAGTTTGAAAATCACGAGATTTGTCAAGATGTCATGATATCATATGTGGAGCCTGTGGTAAAAAATTGAGAATGTTTCGCACAATTTTGTGACGTATGATGCTTACAAGCGAAAGCATCTCCGGAGAAGATTCGTAGAACTTAGAAGAATCCGGTCAAATTTAGAGTCCAAATGACATGTGAATTGGGGTTTGAGTTCAAATTTTTTTGTATAGGCAATACACAACATAGATTGGTTCATGTTAAATTTTGACAATTTTTCGGATCCGTTTCATATTTTTTATTTATTAATTGCAATTATAGAATTTTAGTTGATATAAATTAATTTTGAGCTATAACTGCATGAAATAATGAAATAATATTAGTAGAAAAAACAAATATGCATTTTTGAGTGAATTTGACAAGTTTTTTTCAAAATATATAGGAAAAAGTTACTAAAACCAGCTATTAAAGGTATACATGAAATATTAGCATAATTTGCCGAGTGTTTCTATATAACACTAAGTAAAGTAGCTCTTTGCCGAGTGTCTTCTACAAAACACTCGACAAAGTCTGGGTGCTGGCCCACTGCCAGGGGAGTAGACCTTTTGAAAAAATAAAAAAAATAAAAAGGGGTATGTCGAGTGCCAGATCGCGGGTACACGGCATTCCCCCTAACAGTTAACCCGGCGCGACCCCGCACGCCAAACACACACGCACACACGCCACAGACACACGCCGCGACCACCCGACCCCGTCCCGCCGGCGCCCCCGCCCCCGCTCCATCCCCGAGCGGCGCGACCCCACCCGGCCCGCGGCGGCTCCACTCGGCGGCGCGCCCCCACCCCCCGGCGTCGCCCTCCCGGCCCCGGCGCGCCACATCCGCGACGGCTCCACCCGGCAGCGCCCCCGCTCCATCCCCTGGCGACGCCCCCCCATCGGCGGCGCCTTCCCGGCCCCGGCGCGCCACGCCCGCGACCCGACCGTCCCCCGGTGCGCCACGCCCGCGCCGTCCAAGGTAATTCTAAAATTTTTGTTGTTCTAATTAATTAGAAACAAAATTAGAAATTAGAAATTTGAAAAGCAATTAGAAATTAGAAATTAGAAATTAGAAATTAGAAATTAGCAATTAGAAATTAAAATTTAGAAATTTAAAAAGCAATTCTTAAATTTTTGTTGTTCTAGTTAATTAGAAACGAAATTAGAAATTAGAAAGATGATTTAGAAAATAACTTAGAAATTTGAAATTTGAAAACCAATTAGCAATTAGAAATTATAAAAAGGTAGAATGAATTAGAAATTAGAAAAGAAATTAGAAAGTGATAGAAATGGACTTTTTTTTAGAGAAGATTGAGAGGTGGTAGGATGTGTATAGAGGTGATATGACTTTTTTTAGAAATTAGAAAAGGATAAACCATGAATTATTTGCTTTCTTGTGAGCTATATGTGGTTGTCGGCCATCGTGCCGCTTGCAGTGTGTGGATGTGGTTGTCGGCCATCGTGTTGTTATATTTGATGCAGTTTTGGAAACCTCCCGTGCGGGGAGGTGCCGCCAAAATTTCGACTTGACACTACTATGTTCATTTTCTTGCAGAGAGACTCACAAGGACCGTCCTTGACTCGTCACTTTGCTGGATAGCAAGGTGAGGCATCATACACCTCTCTTTTCGTTTGATGTTCATATATCACGTAACCTAGTTAGGCGTCTCCCGTTCGAAAGAGATACGGTTAGAAATATGCAAATTTTTGCATATCTATAACCGTATCTGTTTCGAATTGTCCACGTTTTTTGGACAGTCCGAGGATGTTTAGCGGGTTTAGTTTCCATGGTCTACTCCGATCCGAGATAGAGTTTCGGCAGCACCTTCCTGTTGTTCTCCGAATACACAATCTCCCTTCCGGGACATGTATTTGGAGAACAGCGGGGAGGTGCTGCCGAAATTCTATCTCGGATCAGAGTAGAGCATGGAAACTAAACCCACTACACATCCTCGGGTGGGATTATGACCTATCTTTACCTAATAGACATTATAGGAACGTGTAGATACAATGTGATTTTATATATTACTCGCTGATATGCTAGAGGATGGGTGACCGTGAGTGGATGTACATGGGCCACTCTAGTCAAAATTCATTGACCAATGAATGGATTGACAAGACGGATGCTTTCTTGGAATGGGTGTTTGCAATTGTCAAAGGAGCTAGATCGACTTGGTGTCCGTGTAGCAAATGTGGAACATGCGTCGGCAAACCAAGCTAGACATGAGCAAACATCTTGTGAAGAACGGATTTATGTCATACTACACCAGGTGGATCTACCATGGTGAAGCCGATCATGGGAGAGACGAGGTCTTGAGACAACGCATCGAGGAATATGATGATGATGCCGGGGTGGGAGACATGTTAAATGACTACCATGAAGCACACTTCGATGAAGCAAGTAGGGAGAAGGAGTCAGAGGCTACCGCAAAGGCGTATTACGACATGTTGTCTGCAGCACAGCAACCCCTTCACGGGCATACCAAGGTTTCTCAACTGGATGCCATTGCACGCCTAATGGCCGTGAAGTCTCAGTTTACCTTGAGTCGAGATGCCTTCGATATTATGCTGGCAGTTGTTGGCAGCCTGCTCCCGGATGGTCACATCTTGCCAAAGAGCATGTATGAGGCACAGAAACTCCTTCGTGCACTTAAGATGCTATACGAGCAGATACATGCTTGTCCGAAGGGATGCATCTTATTTAGGAAAAAGTATGCGGAAGAAAAGTATTGTGTGAAGTGTGAACCATCTAGGTTCCTGGAGGTAGATTCTGGTGGTGGTCAGAAGAGGCAGCTTGCAATCCCCGTGAAGATCCTATGGTACCTTCCTTTCATACCGAGGATCCAACGACTTTACATGACTGAGGAATCCGCGAAACA